GTATTTATTTCAGATTTATCCCACCCTTCCTCCAAGAAGTTCAGGGCACCTTACTTACCTTATTTACTCAAATCTAATGCCCACCATTATTTTGGGACAAAATTACATTGTGAAAATTAAGGTGCATATTAGATTTGATGGCGCATTAGACTCAAGTAAATATGGTAGTTCTCTCAACCTTCTTTTTATCCTCGGTCTCATCCTCCACTGCCTGTTTCAACAACCCTGTGAGGTAGGTTAGAGAGCAAGGTCATCTGTTTAGCTTCATGGCTGAGTAGGAATTTGAATCCAAATCACCATGGTCCTAGTTGTTTTGGAGTGTAGAGAAGTTACACTCAGTATTTGGTTAAAGCTGGCTGAACCCAGTCCTGAAGTTTTGTAAATAATAGTTTCTTGGGACAGGAGGTTGGTAACTACAGTGGTGCCTCGCAAGACGAAATTAATTCGTTCGCAAGTTTTTTCGTCTTGCGAGGCAGCGGTTTCGGAAAAGTTTTGGAAAAGCTTCAAAAATCACCAAAGTCTTCAAAACCTCAAAAAAGGCCTACCACACCGCGTGGCTATGAGTTGCTCCTCAAGCAAGTCCGTCAACTGTATTAACGGTTTTAAGAAAAGGAAACAAACCTTGCAAAGACGGTTTTCCTCTTGAGCGAAGCAAGCCCATAGGGAAATGCAATCTTGCGAAGCAACTCAAAAACCAAAACCCTTTCGTCTTGTGAGTTTTCCGTCTTGCGAGGCATTCGTCTTGCGAGGTTACCGCTGCATGGCAGGGGAGGAAAAGGTTAATTCCTTCTTTCCCCACTTGCTGTGAGTCCAATTTTCTTTCTTTCTTTTTAAAAAAGCACCGTCCATTTTTTAAAACAGAAAGATCAATTTCCTATTTTATCTCATTTGGCCCTCTGAGTTGAACCATTGCAAACTCAAAGCTGAACTATTAAAAATACATAGCAGTTAATTAATCAGGCTTCTTGGGAACTATAGCTTCACATAAATTTTGAGCTCGTACACATGTGCCCTAGAGACAGACCTTCAGCAGACTGTTCCATGCCTGTTTTTACGGCTGCATTTTCTACATTAGTTGCTTGTTCTGTGTCACCTTTGAGCTTGTGTAACATTCTGAGTTCTTATCTTTGTTAAATGACCCTTTCCCCAGTTTAGAATTGATCATTTTACTTGTGAGTCAGCCTATGCTTTTTCAAATGGCTCTTTGTATTAGCTATTCTCTTGTTCTAATTGAGGATGGTAGCTGGGAGCCAAAGAAGTGTGCAACTCCTTCTGTGTTCTCAAAGAAGACTCTGCATTAGGGTTTTCCAAACTGCTGCCGTAGAAGGTCTATGGCGCAAAGCTTAAAAATCTTTTAAAAACACATCCTATTTCCTTTCAGATTTGCCATTTACTCTTACACTTTCTGTATTTAGTGTGAAACTATAAATATGACCACCTCAATATTTTGAAAGAGCTACCAGAATTTGCTCTTGGAGTTTGATTTTACTGTCTCTCATTGCGATAGCTATTGGAACATGGAGCTCTCTAGACCCCTTATCCAGAGTTGTGCATTTCCTAGAAAGGATTGAAATTTTGTGATTTGGCTTTTCAAATGCACTCTGGAATAAGAGGTGAAGACACACACACTTAACTATCCCAATTCTTCTCTGCTCCCTCTTTGCAAACTGTAAATTTTGTCAAGTAATGCTGTATTGCTATTAGAAAATTGATTTGAGGTCTCTTTAAATATGTGCGGATAAACCTTAATCTTCTCAGTCTAATCAGGGGATGTGTGGAGCAAATGAAAAATGACTTGGCAGATTGATTCCTGCATAGTGCTGAGTTCACCTGCCTGGCTGTTTGCAACCTTAGTGAAGGTTGCAAGCAATTGTGATGGATAGAGATAGAAGTGATGTGTGTGTGTGTGTGAGTGTGTGTGAGAGAGAGAGAGAGAGAGAGAGAGAGAGCGAGCGTGCACAGCATGAATTGTTACCCTCCAATGGGTAGCAGGATATTAAAAAAGGAGTAGCAGACAATTGTGTACCTTTGATTTCTTATGCATGGTATGCATGCAAAATGCAACTTCAAAAATGCTGTCTCAGGAATAGTCTTCAAAATGTGCAGTTTGCATTCTGTTTATTATTTATTAGACTGCTTTTTAAAGCCAATTTGCTTCTCAAAGTGGTTTACAAACATGTGCAAATACAAATCCATAAAATCTAACAGCAAAACCAGCTAAAACAGTTGAAACAACAAATTCCAACAAGTGAGCATACCAATGAAATAACCCATTTAGCTTGGAATAATGGCATCTGATAGCTTAGATTAGCCCCCAAAGGGCACTATGAAAAAAAAAAGGGGGTTGTAAGGCCTTGAGCAGGAGAACTTCCTCCCCCAACCCCAAAAGGCTAGGTGGATTTATAACAGGCGTGGTGGAAACACAAGTTGGTGGCCAAGTGTGTATCACATTCCCTGCTAACATAGCCTTCTGTGTTTCCAGACTGGTTGAGTTCGGAGAGCTCCAATTTCTGCAGAGGATGTTGCTTAGCTAGCCACCCACTCAGTGATTAAATACTGGTCTTCAGTGATGTTTTTGCACACTTGGACAGAATGATACTCTGAAACCTGAGTGCTTTGTGATGCATGTTGCAATGCTACAGAGAATCAGCTGTCTATATGTGTGTGCATGTATGACTAAATTCAAAATGACAGTGTGAAATGAACGGGAATCTTGGGTCTCTTTCTAAATTCAGTGCTTGTATACTAGGGATTCTTAGAGTTTGAAGTAGGTATCTCTAAGCAGGGCCTAAATAGTTGATATGTGGGTTGTGTCTTGAGCTCTGTCATGCCAACAAACAAGGAGGTAGCCACCATCTTCTGTATTTGTTATCAGTGTTGGGTGAATGAGGAGGTTCTTTATATACTGATACCCCACTTTCCCCTCCAGGAATGCTTCGCACACACACGGATAGTTTCTAAACAGCAGGAATACTAATGCACCCTAAGGAAAATGGCTGCACTCAGATGATACTCTGAAGTCTGAACCGTAGTGCGGAAGACTGGCAATGACTCCCCCCTTCCTATGTGTGTAATTGGAAGAGATTAGAAACTTCTATGTTTGGTTAACAGGAAGCCATAGTTTGTTGGTACTTCTGAAAGTTGCAAACTATAGTTCCCCCTGCAAACCAGGAAGCTTTGATGGATCAGTTGAACGTATCCATGTAGCTTTAAATGACTACTAGTCATGATGGCAATAAACTACCTCCAGGATCACAAGCAGCATGCTCTGAATAGCCAGTTGCTGTAGAGCAGCAAGAGAGGACTGTTGTCAGTATGTCCTGCTTATGGGCTTTCCACAGGCATCTGGCTGGCAAGCTGTTGGAAACAGAATACCAGACTAGAGGGGCCTTGTGTGTGATCTTGCTGGATTCTTCAAACTTTCTTCTCTCCATAGGTCAGTTCTAAATATTATGTGTCATACATTATGTGTCACTGGATAAGTGTCATTGGGTTTGCTGCTTGATAAGTAGCCATTGCCCATACCAGTTCCCACATGAGTGGAACTTCATGATTTCATGCATGAGCTGCATCAGCTGGTAAAATTTTTAGGTGGTCATGTAAAATATTTTACATGCACATCTGAAACAGCCCTAAGTGTGAAGTAGCCCTAAGCGTGATTTGTGGCAGCTGAAGCTATCTACATACATTACTGTTCGTGTCCTTTGCTGCTTTCCCCCCTTCAGTCACTCAAGCTGAACAGCCTTGGGTTAGCTGTGTGGGCAACTCCACTTTCAGCGACCCACTTGAACCAAGAGTGTTAAAAGGGAAGGGCTGATAAATAAAGTGTCTTGATTAAGATTTACTCTGCCTGGAATGGTGGGTGAACGTGATTGTTAAAAAGGACTCTTGGTACTAAGGGAGGCCTGGCTGGTTGCCATGGTTATTCCAAGCCTTCCTGGTGGCAGAATGATAACAACAGGACTCTCTCCCAAGCTAGTTCCAGTTCTGGCTGAAACTCTTAATATATATATATATTTAATCTGAAGATAACATTTATGCCTCCAGCATATGAATTTTCCTCTTTCACAAAATAGTTTATTTGTGAGAGGAGATTAACTGAAGTTTCTCTTGGGGGACCTGCACAGTGGTTTATATTGTCTGTTCAGCAGATTTTTCAGTACCACTCTTCTCCAGCCAAGGGCTGGACAAATAAGTTTTCCATGAGAAATATAGCCTGTGAGTCATCCGAACCCCCTTCAATTTCTATGTTGCATTTCCAAAGAATTGGTAAACTGGTCTGCAGTGCAAAATTAAGTAGATGAAGTGCAACTCTATAGTTTTGTATTTAGTACCACTTTATTAGCTGAAATTTTCTAACTATTAAACATTGACTTTGTGATGCAGGAGAGAAAACTACTGATGTTAGGAAGCTGCCTTATATCAAGACTGACCACTGGTCTATCTTGTCCATAGGGTGGCCCTTTATGCATCACCAAAAAAGGAGGGTGCTTGTTTGCATATAATTTGCATATGCTTATATGCAAATTTAGAAAACGTTCCTATAATTGATATAGAAATGCAATACATCTCATCATAATGAGAGGGACTGATCTGTGTGACAGCTCAGCTTGCTGTTCAGTGCTGTTGAGGGGCAAAGGCAAGGTTTCTGCTGTCCAAGGTCAATCTCCCTTCTAATGGTTCATTTTCCTTTAAAGCCCTTAGAACTGGAGGACTATTCACAGTAAAGTAAGACATGCAGTCACTCTATTCATCCAGTACTGTCTTCTGCAATGGGCAGTGGCCATCCAAATTCTCCAAGCAGAGGGGTTTTCCTGCAGTGTTCCCTGAGATCTTTAAAAGCGGCATTCCCAGTGTTTGAACCTGTCCCCTGTTCTCTGCCACTCAGTAAAGCTGAAACTGTGACCCCCCTCCTCTCGAATTGCCTTTTATTGGTTGCAAATGTTCAAATTTTGTGACTTCAATACCCTTCTCTGTTCTCTTTTTCTGTGCATGTGCAGGTCCTTCAGAAACTTGGCAAAGCTGATGAAACAAAAGACGAGCAATTTGAACAATGTGTGCATAACTTCAACAAGCAACTGGTAAGCAACTTTAAATATACGAACAGTCAGTCTTGACCATTCCTTAACCCTTGATGAGTATATCCTGGAAAGGGTTTCACATACTATGGGTGGACTCATAGTTGGAACTGAGGTTGGGTGAGAATGATACCAGTAGGAGAAAGACATATTAACATAACTTCAAATTTCACCATATTCTTACATTATACTTTTAAGCCAGTACTACTAATCTTTATAATGAATTGGGACCCCATCTTACAGCCTCCATATTTAACCATGAAGGAAAATATATGGAATTTCATCCAGGCTGGCAAAGGAGAGATGGTGTGATCTGTTTCTCCTTCACCAACTAACTTGGCTTCCGTGCTAACAATTGGTGGAAGAAAGGGGCCTTCCTCCATGAACAGCATGGAAGTGCAACAGACTGGCTATTGGCCAAGATGCAACAGACTCTTCTGTCCTTCCTTCACCATGAAGCTGTTAGCAATCTCCTTCAGTGGGGTTGCACAAGCACTTCTGAGCTGGCTTTGCACAATGGCAGAGAGCACAAATAGCAACGAAACAACAGTAAACAGATCCTTGTGGCTTTGTCTGAGGTGGTTTGGCCACTGTGAGGAAAAGGTTGTTGGACTAGATGGACTTTTAGTCAAATCCATTGGGTTTTTTTTTGGTTTTTTTGTTATGCGTGTGCAGCATGCAAATGTAAAATGTAAAAATGCCCTGAAAATGATTAAAAAAACCCCAAAGCTAAAGCTAAAACCAGCCTCTTTCAGAACCCATAAGTTCATGTAGAAAGGCATCTTGGAAATGTTGAGCAAAACAATTTGTGCGTGTGTGCGCTGAGGAAGGCTTCAGCAACGACCTCCCTTGACTCAAAATAGCAGCCTCCCAAGGCTATCCTGTATTGTCTAACTCATTGAGGATATGATATGATGATGATTTAAATGTTGGGGCTTTATTCAGTGCATTTGCCTGGAATGTTTAATTTGCCTCACAATGTCCTGAAATGGCAGGCAACCGTGGGAGGGGGGTTGACCTTGTTGTTTGCAAGGCTTTTTCAAGTAGCTGAAGACTTCAGTAACTAAAGTGCCACATGCTGTGTGAATATGCAGCCACTGTGGTTATTATGAACCTTATGAACAAATGTTGACAAAGCAGCAGGGACGTTGCAGTGCAGACAAGTAATGTGAATCTGGCAGGTGCCTGCTGTTATATATCCCAGACTTGTTTCATGCAGTACTTACAATAGTATTTATTCATAAAAAAATGAAAATCCTGCTTTTCAGTATTTAGGTCTCAAAACAGCATACAATCACAAAAATATACAAAATTTTAAAATCAACATTAAACCCCAAAAATGTAAAGCCTCAGAAATTAAAAAAATCAGAAGTGTAAATGCATATAATCACAATCAAAGAAGTAATCATGGTACAAAGGCCTCCTGAAATAAGATGATTTTAACAAAGTTCCAGAAACTTAACAGTGCTTCCCCAGATGATCTCAGCAATCGACTTGGAAAATACATGGTGAGGAGGTCCTTAAGGTGTCCTGGGCCTTAGACTAAATCAATGGTTTTCAGCCAGTGTGCAATGGCACCCTGAGGTGCCTTGAATGATGGTCAGGGGCAACACTAGCCTCTGTTCCTCTTTCCTTCCCTCCCTTCCTCTGATGCTCTCTTGCATCTCTGCCTCCCAAAGGCTTGCACAGCTGTTTGTTGCAGCATCCCTGGCTACAAGCTCCTCAGGTAAATGGTGCCTCTGGGGCTGGCCAGGGGGTGCTTTCCAGGCCTCTGTGGGGCAGTGTGAGGAGGCATCTCTCTTTCGGGTGGGATGGAGAAGCTCAAGAGACTAGGGATGACAGCTGCAGCTTCCCAGAGGACTCCGAAGGAGAGGGGAGACGAGAGGAGGCTGAGGGAACACTCCCCAAGGGGAGGGTGTTTGAAAAGGTGTGAGGGATTGTTGGCTTTGCAGGCAAGGGGTGGCATAACTGGACTCTTGAGCCCCACAGGGGTGCCACAGAAAGAATGAAGTTGTTCAAGGGAGCCACGGACTCAAAAAGATTGGAAACCTGGACTAAGTTATTCAGGGTTTTGTACATTAGTACTAGAATTTGGCTTGGTGGCAAATAGGAAGCCATTGTAGGTATTTTAACACAAGTATAACATGTTGGCAGTAGCTTCTTCCCATCACCAGTCTAGCTGCAGCTTCCATAAAGAGCATGTTTTAGTACAGTGGTACCTCAGGTTACAAATGCTTCGGGTTACAGACTCTGCTAACCCAGAAGTAGTACCTCGGGTTAAGAACCTTTACTTCAGGATGAGAACAAAAATCGTGCAGCAGCGGCACAAGAGCAGCGGGAGGCCCCATTAGCTAAAGTGGTACCTCAGGTTAAGAACAGTTTCAGGTTAAGAACGGACCTCCAGAATGAATTAAGTTCTTAACCAGAGGTATCACTGTAATTCAGTTTGAGGGTAATAATTTTCATGAGCCCTATGGAGACCTTTTGGCAGGGCTGGTCAGATGGGAAGGAAGAATAGTATGTGAGTCTGGAAACCAATTCTGGGGAGGGGCCCAGCAGCTTACCAGGAGGAAGTTCAGTCAGTGGCGTAGCGTGGGGGGTGCAGGGGGGGCCGGCCGCACCGGGCGCAACATCTGGGGTTAGGGCAAATCCACGGGTTAGGGGGCGCAAATCCACAGGTTAGGAGGCGCAAATCCACGGGTTAGGGGGCGCAAATTACTTGCCTTGCCCCGGGTGCTGACAACCCACGCTACGCCACTGAGTTCAGTGACAGTGGATGTCCTGAGTGCCGAGAGAAAGGTTTTTGAACCAGGCTCTGCCCCAATCTCTTGCTAGCAAAGTGCTTCCCCCCCTAGGTCAGACAGTGAACTCGCACTATTGACTTTGTCTTACAAGGATGTGATGCTCATTGTGGTGGCATGAGCAGACCCACAAGCATGCCTCCTTGCCCATTCTCACGGCTCAGGATGGGATTTCTGTGAATGATTGTGCCTGCTCTCCTCTTCAGATGGGTAGCTCAGGGGGCATGTCAAGTCTTGAGACAATGTCTTTGCTTACACCTAACCATGTATCCTAGAGCTTTGCAATATTCTGCTAAGTACCTTCCAACATGATATATGTTTAGGTCATGTAGCAAATTCTGGAATAAAACCTTTTGTAATAACCAAGTGGAGAGTCTGAGTATTACGTCCGCAAGTGGGAGCCAGGACAGTCATGGAGGTGTTAGCTGGGAGAGGAACTGTATTTATTGCATGATAGGTAGGAAAATGCAAGAATTCTGAAACATGAGCACTTCCGTTTTGATGTGCAGCAAATTAGTAAGAACACCACTAAATATATTGTTCTAAACTGATGGTGTCGACAAGGTTCTGAATGAATAGGAAAAAAAGTCAGCTTCCCTCTGGTGCTAAATAGCAGCTTTTCTGTGATTATTTGTATGTTTTAAACATATTTTATATATGTATATAGTTTTAGCTCTATTAACGGTTGCTTGTTTTTTAATTATTATTTATGTTTTTAGTGATTCTTGTTTTTCTTTGTAAGCTGCATTGAGTACCGCCAGGGGAAAAAAAGCTGGGGTATAAAAAACAAACAACCAAACAACAAGGGCTTTTGTTGATGCTGGTACTGCCCTACATTCCCAACTGTGGTCAGACCACATGTAGCTACCCAATCCTCCTCCTCCCTCCCTCTCCTCTACATGTAAAAAGGGGCACAATTCCCACTCCACAAATGGATCTCTGTGGATAATGTTTTGCTTGATTGCCCAGGTCTCTGTATTTACTTCTGCTAGTATAAGTATAAAATAGCCCAGTATATGTTCATTGTTCATCAAGCCAGTTGCTTACACTTAGGCTGGTATAAGCAGCAGCCTATTTCCACAACCGTGGAATTATAGTTGGGGCAACTAGAGCACCAAAGAAAGCTGATCCGGTGCAGCTAAAGAGCCTTCTGTATTCAAGCTGGTATCCCAGGAAGGATGGAAATGGCTTCTGGGCATCCACTGCAAAATGGACCGATTGTTTGCTGTGTTCCTGTGAAGACAGGCAGCTGTCTTTGATTTGCCCTGGGCTGAGAGTCTCTTTTTGTTACAGTCCATGCAGGCACATGGTCTGCTGCGAAAGTGGAAGAGATATAAACTTAGCTGTCTCTCTCATTGCACAGCGCTGTCATCTTTTTCTTTTTCCTGAATGGGGAGGGAAGGGGGGGGGATCTTGTTCTAAATACCTTGTATGTCCATTCAGAGAACGACAAGCGTGCTTCCTTTTTACTCTGCGAATGGCACGAGATCTCCCTCCCTCTTTGCTTAGAGGCTGACTTTGCTACGTGACACACAAGCCGAACATGACTTGTTTTTTGGCAGTGGTGCTAACATTCCGGTGGTCTCAGGCCCCTCTGGAGTTTGACGAGCAGCACAACTGGGGATGGTCAGGAGGAGGAGGATTCTTCCTCCTAGGATGATCTGCATTCAGTTACTGCCCTTTGCGCTACTTCCATCAGAAGAAGCTGCTGTAGAAAAACCTGCAGATAGCTGCATGCTTCCTCTCGCCATTAGAACCCCCCCCCCCGGAGCAAAAGGTGTATAAATACATTTTATTAAGACCCAGCTGAAGTGTCACAGAATAGTGAGCAAGCTTCTGAGCCTTTCAGAACTTGTATTCAGAGAAATGATTTTCAGTAAAATGGTAAAAATGGGGGCACGGGAGGAGAAAAGATGATTCAGATCAGGATTTTTAAAAAAGACCCACTGTCAGCAGTGTAAACAGAGTAGACTTCAGAAGACTAGATCAAGACTAGGTGCAGAGCAGATTTTGGGTTGTGCCAAGGGCTACAGGGAAAAAGAAGCAACAACTGTTTTTCAGAAAACATAATAGCCAGTAGCTATTTGCATCTACCTGTTTCTCTTTTATAACATTCTTGATTAATGTTCACCTCTTGTATCTGAATTGATGCAATGAAACATGAATAGTTAAGCCAAAAGAGCAGAAAACAAGCTGCTCCAA